GTGGGGATTCGAGAAATTGGGAATTTTAGAATTTGGGGTTTTGATAATTTTGGAATCTGAGAATTTGGGGATTTGAGAATTTAGGAATTTTAGAATTTGGGAATTTTAGAATTTGGGAATTTCGGAATTTGGGAATTTGAGAATTTTGGAATTTGAGAATTTGGGGATTTGAGAGTGGGGATTTAAGAATTTGGGGATTTGAGAATGTGGGGATTCGAGAAATTGGGAATTTTAGAATGTAGGGTTTTGATAATTTTGGAATCTGAGAATTTAGGAATTTTAGAATTTGGGAATTTTAGAATTTGGGAATTTTAGAATTGGGGAATTTTAGAATTTGGGAATTTGGGAATTTTAGAATTTGGGAATTTGGGAATTTGGGAATTTTGGAATCTAAGAATTGGGGGATTTGAGAATTTGTGAATTTTAGAATTTGATTGCATTGAACTTTGATAACCATCCAGTAATTACATACTTAGTATTTTTGAAAATGTTGAAAGCTACGAAAATTTTGAAATTTAACCTCTTAGGCACAAATTTTACGCGGCGCTTCTCTGTGCGGGTTCGAATTACGCATAAATAATACTAATTGAATAATCAAATATACTCGACAATGCCTACCTATGCACTGATATTTTAAGAAAAACAATAATAGTGCCGATTTATTTATTTACAGAGTAAAACCTTGAATTTTTCGCAAACTTAAAAGTTGGATATTTATCGAGTTGGACAAATACCAGCAACAATATCTTCAGTTTTTATATCAATCAGAATCAATTTATCCAAATTTCTATTATCCCTCACCACATTACAATGAAGAGTTCATCAATTGGTATGTCATTTTTGACAAGTGTTCTACTTGTTCTACTTATAATGCAACTGTCGATCAGCATCGAGGGTAAGAATCGTCGATCATTAGATGAACGAAGTGCTGCTAATAGAATCGACGAACGTGAAGGATCTCCAGATGCAGTTAGTTTGAGGGATGCTAATGGTATGACACTTACTTACAGACATATCCTTAGAACATCCCCAATCCCCCCCAAATGCCCACCTGGGCAAGTATTCGCACATCACCGCTGCAGAGAAGTTTAGTGACACGATTGTAGTTTTGTTAGTGCACTGATTTAATAAAAGTCCATTTTGAACAGTCCTTTTATTTCTGACTACATCACTGCAGAGGATTAATAATGTTGTCTACTTAAATACATTTGTGTTACAAACATGTAGATTGTATTTAAATTTGTGCAACATATGCGTAAATTGTGTTGAAATAAATGTATGTTACGTATATTTAAATAGTGTTACATACATGTAGATTGTATTTAAATTCTGTGCAACATATGTGTAAATTGTATTGAAATAAATGTGTGTTATGTTTAAATAGTGTTTAAATTAATTTTTGTTATGTATGTTTACGTTTTCTTCAAATAATTTTCTGATACACATGTTTAGGTTATAATCGAATAAACTTCTACTATATGTGGTAAAGTTGTGTTCAAATAAACTTGTCAGGTACAAAATTTGGAAATTTTGAGAATTTGGAGATTTGGGAATTTGAGAATTTGGGAATCTAAGAATTTGGGGATTTAAGAGTTTGGGAATTTGAAAGTTTGGGGATTTGAGAATGTAGGGATTTGAGAATTTGAGAACTTGAGAATTTGGGAATCTAAGAATTTGGGGATTTAAGAGTTTGGGAATTTGAAAGTTTGGGGATTTGAGAATGTAGGGATTTGAGAATTTGAGAACTTGGGAATTTGGGAATTTTAGAATTTGGGAATTTTAGAATTTGGGAATCTGGGAATTTGGGGATTTGAGAATTTGAGAATTTGGGAATTTGGGAATCTGAGTATTTGGGGATTTGAGAATTTGGGGATTTAAGAGTTTAGAAATTTGAAAGTTTGGGGATTTGAGAATGTGGAAATTTGAGAATTTGGGAATCTAAGAATTTGGGGATTTAAGAGTTTGGGAATTTGAAAGTTTGGGGATTTGAGAATGTAGGGATTTGAGAATTTGAGAACTTGAGAATTTGGGAATCTAAGAATTTGGGAATTTTAGAATTTGGGAATCTGGGAATTTGGGAATTTGGGAATTTGGGAATTTGGGAATTTTGGAATTTGAGAATTTGGGGATATGAGAAAAAATTGTTATACTGAAGAAAACACTTTATGTCTTCAAAACATATAAAAAAAAAACTTGAAAGAAATTCTAATATATTAGAAAAAAATACTTCAAGAAAATTCTAATATATTAGAAACAAATACTTTAACAAAATTTTAATATATTGAAAAAAAATATTTGAAGAAAATTGTCCCTGACCGTAAAATTGTAAATATCAATTTATGTATACCCACCTAATATTCAGTTTACGTATAAAAATTTTAACAAAAACAATTTAGCCTTTCATTTATAAGAATATGTTAACCCTTCCTGTATTTCTGAAATGAATAAAATGTTTCAAAAACATAAATACAGAATTACGTTATCATTTTAAAAATATACTTATACTTTCAAATAAAAATGATTGTAAAGTGATTATAAAAAATGATTCATAAAATTATAAAGTCTTCACGAATGTTTATTTCTTTATTACTTGATAAACGATATTGTTAAATCATTCTGCTGAACAAACTTATTTATCACAATAATAAAATCAATGTCTGCAATACTGTAATGTCACGACCAAACGCGTCTCAAGAATTTTCATAAAATTTTATGTGACACCTATGTTCACGAATTCGTGAGTTCTAATCGTTGCAAATTATAGCAAAAACGTTTATTAGTATTATTAACAGTGACAATTATTTTTAATTATTTGTTTTTCAACAATAATGGTTCCTTTTATCGACAAGTTTATTAGTGTGGGGTTTATCTGTGATATGTTACAAACATAAAAGGAGTAGAGGTTAGGTTTAAGGTTACAAGAAACTGCATATAAATCTGGCCATTTGAATTCAAATGCTGCGTTGGAATATGGGAAACTGGTTTCAAACGGGTTGTTTAAACTGTCTTGGTGCAATACAGGTATTCTATATACATTCCCTTATTTATACTTGATTATTATTTGATACTTTTGAAACCATTAAGATTGTGTGTTATGATGTTAAGGTAGTGATGGGTATAAACAGATCACGTGTTTGTTCGAGAGATCTTAAATTTAGAAGTTTCTGTAGTTGGAAATTTAATTATTTGCGAATTTGAGAATGTGGGGATTTTTAATTTTGTATGGTTCGAGAATTGGGAATTTGGGGATTTGAGAAGTTGGGGATTCGAGAGGTTGGGGATTTGAGAATTTGGGCATTTGAGAATTTGGGGATTTAAGAATTTGAGAATTTTGGAATATTGGAATTTGAGAATTTTGGAATTTGCGAGTTTTGGAATTTGAGAATTTGGGGATTTGAGAATTTTGGGATTTAAGAATTTGGGAATTTGAGAATTTGAGAATTTTGGAATATTGGAATTTGAGAACTTTGAAATTTGAGAATTTTGGAATTTACGAGTTTTGGAATTTGAGAATTTTGGAATTTGCGAATTTTGGAATTTGAAAATTTTGAAATTTGAGAATTTTGGAATTTGCAAATTTTGGAATTTGAAAATTTCCGAATCTTAAATTTTAAAACTAAGCAGTTTTAGAATTTGAAAATTTGCGAGTACACTGACCATCAAAGCGCTAATATACATACATCATATCACATTCTACACATATCTTATATACGTCCAAAGTTTTCTACAAAATATTTATTCATTCACAGAATTAACTCGACCGTACAATCAGTATCAAATCAGCTCCGCACATTACCGAACCATGAAGACCTCGCTCAAAATACCAAATCTGGCCACCGTGCTCTTTGCTCTGGTTATTCTGGACCTCGCATTAATAGGTGTCCAGTGTAGAACACGTCGATCTCCAAATCTGGAGATCGCCCCTCGTGAAGCGTTATCCTCCAGGATCGAATACAAAATAGGAAATCCTAATAACTTAGAAACTCGTCAATTATCAGCGAAGATGGGAAATAGTGAGGGACTCAGTTTCAGAGACATCATTCGGGTACCTCCGAGAAAGTGTCCTGAGGGATATGAATTGGACTACAACAATAAGTGCAGACAGGCGGTTGATATATATTAGCTCTGCTGACCCTGTCTTGGAGTATCTTCATAACAGGAAAGTCAAGAAGCCTCGCAGGAAAAACTAACACTTTAATGGGTGCTCACACATGTGTACAATTGTTGTGGAACAATTGTAGTGTCCGTTCACACATGTGTGTGATGCTAAGGTTATTGGCCTTTTATGTGATGACTACTTTAATAATTATCACACAAACATATTATATTAAATGTGTTGTTGTTTTCGTTTGTTTTATGCGTTCTCGCGTGTTGAATTATTTCGTGAATTTACATGAAGTTTCTTTAAATTAATTCTTGAGAAATAATTTCGTGAATTTACATAAAGTTTCTTTAAATTAATTCTTGAGGAATGTTGCCGGTCGGTGGCAACGTTTGACTGCGAGGATGTCCATTGAAGTGTTGAAATGAAAATTCTTTAGTGATTTTTGGTGATTGTTATATTCATCATATGTGGAAATTTTTTGAAGGAAAGTTTTGGAGGTAAAATTGAAACAAAGTTTTGTAGGAATTTTGAAGTTATAGAAGCTAGAAATTTCAAATGAGTACTTGGCGATTTGAAAATTTACTAAATCATGTAGATAACCAGTTGACTTTGTATAACCTTAAACGCGATATATTTTATTCTGATCATTTTTTGCCATTAAAGATAATTAATAATGCTGTTTGCTTAAATAAATTTGAATCACATACGTTTAAGTTGTACTCAAAGTTTGTGGCATATTTAAGTTAGGTTAGGTTGATGTTTAGGTTATGTTCGAATAAACTTGTTCCACATATGTTTAAATTGTATTAAAACGAATTTGAGATTTATATGTTTAGCTTGTATGTTGTAAATAAATTGCTTCTAAGTATGTGAGTATTGTTTTCAAATAAATCAGAATAAATTCCATTATTAAACTACACGTAAAAACCCAACCTTCCTTACGTGATGTCAAAGTTATTCATACTAAACTCAAGACCTATTTAACCACTGATTTATTTAACTTTACTAATTAGTACTTCACTTCTATTTATTTATAGTCAAAGTTATTCATACCAAACTCAGATCTATTTAACCACTAATTTATTTAACTTTACTAATTACTTCACTTCTATTTATTTATAGTAACTTACTATACACTTCTATTTATTGAAGTACACTTTGTTCTATTTGTCGAAGTACACTTCTATTTATTATTACACTGCTATTTATTGAAACACTAGAACATTTGTCTAACACATTTTTCCATATCAACATCTCCGAAGGTGTGATCAATTTGAATGAAACATCCTTTTGCATAAAAGCATTCTTCAAACTTCGCAGTATAAAGTCTCAAAACAAGTTATTTTAACTACTGAGCTAATTTCAGTGATAAACCAGTAAGATTTTGTTTCGGATGTAAATTTTTTTTCGACGGAAAGCGATGCTCAACATAAGACGAAGATAACGCATATGTATCGACCAGTTTATTAACACATGACCTTCATCTCATTATCATAATAACAGGAAAGTGAAGAAAGGTGGGGAATTAGTTTGTAGACGATATAAAAGCTGTTATTTTAAGGCTGTTAAAGAAAGAATCAAAAGTCAGTGAAAGAGGATCGAGGAGGCAGGCCAAATTTGCATCTCACAAGCAGTGTTTACGCGCGTGGATGCAGTTCTCAGTGACGGATTCTGCTGGTTTTAGTGATTCAAATATTTGAGTAATTAAGACAATTTCTGGTGAGTGTAGTAGCTATTTTATATGTTTATGACTGTAGAGAATTTGTGGAATTGCGTTGATTTTTAATAGAGGACAATGATGAGCAAAATTCGAAGTGAAATTCGAGGTGCGAATTAGGTGAAATTCGAGGATTCTTGAATATGGGATTTTAGAAATTTAGAACTTGGGGATTTGAGAATATGAGAATACGGAAATTGTGAAATTTTGGGGATTTGGGAATTTTAGAGATTTAGGGATTTGAGAACTTGAGGATTTGGCAATATGAGAATTTGGGAATTTGAGAATTCTGGAATTCGAGAATTTTTAAACTTGAGAATTCGGGAATTTGAGAATGTGGGCATTTTAGAATTTTGGAATTTGAGAATTTGGGGATTTGAGAATTTTGTTAATGTGAAAATTTAGGGATTTGAAAATTTGGGGATTTGAGAATTTTGGAATTTAAGAATTTTGGAATTTGAGAGTTTTGGAATTTGAGAATTTGGGGATTATTTGAGAGTTTTGGAATTTAAGAATTTTGGAATTTGAGAGTTTTGGAATTTGATAATTTGGGGATTTGAGAATTTGGGAATTTGAAAACTTGGAGATTTGAGAATTTGGAAATTTAGAAATTTGGGGATTTGAGAATTTGGGAACTTGAGAATGTAGAAATTTGAGAATTTTGGAATTTGAGAAGTTTGAAATTTGAGAACTTGGGAACTTGGAAACTTGCAAACATGCAAACTTGCAAACTTGCAAACTTTGGAACTTGGTTACTTGGAAATTTGGTTATTTCAAAGTTTTTAAATTTTAGAATTCTGGAAATCTGGTATTTAGAAGTTCAAAATTTAAAAAATTGTAGACTTTGCCACATTAAGAATTTAAGTATTAGAAAATATAGAATTTCAGAAATTAGGTCCTTCGAAAACTTTTAGTTGTTAAGAACAGAATCACAAAACTTCCTAAAAATACAGAAATGCATCTGAAAATTTGTGCACATGAACACTGGAAATTAACAAATTGTGAAAAAACGTAAAGTTTTAAAAGTAAGTTTTACGTAAACTTAAAGAATTTAATGAAAAGTTCTCAACGTCTCCTACCTTCCATTAAAAAAATTGACCCATCACTTGCTGATACGCAGTTTTAAAAAGTAACAGTGTTTTACTCGTTTATTCACAGAGCAAACAAAGAAGGGATTTCCTCGAAGCTCAGTAAATCTAACCACATTACAACCAGGATTAAGTCATCGATACTCCGCATATCAATTACTGAGTCATTATGAGGAGCTCATCGATTAATATGTCCCTTTCGATGACATTTATGTTCGTTCTATTTGTGTCGCAATTTTTAATCACCGTAGAGAGTAGGACTACTGGATCATGGGACAACGGACGAGTTGTTAATACAATTCGTAATCGGGACAAGTCCAACGAGGATGAAGACAGAATTATTTTCAAGGACGATGACGATGATGAACAGGAGGGTGCCACTAATGTGAGGGGTGATTTCAATAACGCTAAGGATGATGACAGTGATACACTTGTACACAAGAGTATCATTGGTGGAACATTACGGAATACGTGTAATGCAGGTTATAAGGCTGACGACAAAGGTCAATGTAGAAAAATTGAGCAAAATTTTCCCGAATAAGCATTTTATTATACGCAGAAATGTACAATTTAATATAATCTCACGCAAGATGATGGCGAAGAATTATTAATTCATTCATAAATCGCTCCTCTTTATTTGAAAATAAACGGCAATTTTTTCCCTGATTCACTGTATTATACATCAGATGCATTATTTATTCGTTTCTTCAAAAATAGCTTTTGACGAAATCCTAATAAAGAATTGCAGATTGGAAAATTAAAAAATATTCGGTAATTTAGGAATTTGGGGATTTGGAAATTTGAGAATGTGGAAGTGTGGGATATTTAGGGATTTGGGGATTTATAAGGTGGAGAATGATGAGATTTGAAAATTTTGAGGTTTTTGAGAATTTTGGGGATTTTGGAAATTTGGGGGACTTTGGGAATTTTTAGAATTTTGGGAATTTTGAGGATTTGGAGATTTGAGAATTTGGGATTTTGAGAATTTTGGGATTTGGGAAGTTTGCAATTTGGGAATTTAGGGATTTGGGAATTTTGAGATTTGGAAATTTTGGGATTTGGGAATTTTAGGTATTTGGAAATTTGGGAAATTGGGAATTTTAGGGATTTGGGGATTTAGGAATTTGGGGATTTGGCAATTTTGTGATTTGGGCATTTGGGGATTTGAAAATTTTTCAGTTCTTTGAGAATAGTCAATTTGTAAATTTGTGAATTTTGGGGATTCTTTTTTATTTGAAAATGAATGGCAATTTTTTGTCTGATTCGATGACGTCCAGTTACGCCCCTGACAGCAATTAATTGTTAACAAATATATTTTTAACGAAAGCTGTTACTACTTAACGTAACAGTAAAAATGATGAACAGTGAAATAAAATTATTAAATCTCAGAATTATGCAAAATATGTAATATATATATATTTAAAAATGTTAAAAATAATATGGTAGAAAATTCATTTTCGTAGACGAAAAAACATCGTCACATATATGAATGTATGTGTGGAAACGGACAAATAACGGTGGAATGCAAATTTTATTCGTTACTAAAATAATTTTATTTTGGAAATGTTTGACACGTATTGCGAGAATCAATATTTCAACGAAGAAAATTATTTTTAACTACAAAATTTGATGCATCTCGTAATTTATCTGCATAAAATTTGATGAAAGAAATTGAATTTATCGAAACGATTTATAAATTTGTACCGATTTGTGTCAATTCATTGTATATTTATGTATCTATTTTTTGATAAATAAAATTTTCAATACATTGAAACTTTCTATCATGTCGTTTGTTAATAAAAAATTACACGATTCTCCGAGGTTTTCATCTCTTCGAGAATGATTATTAATAATCTAAAATACGAATAAAATATATTTTTCGCTCTCTGTAATTATCGCTACACTTATCGTTTCATGGTCTAAATTTAATTTGTAAGATAAAGTGAAATTCATACGATAAAATAAATCATGCATTAATTATTCATTTCACTGGAAAACAACACTGGCTTCAGGAAGAATTTGTATAAATTTTTAAATCTAAAATAAGAAATACACTAGTATTTTCGTCAGTATAATTTATTTATTCGTTCATTTCATTTATTTATTTCCTGCAGCCATATTTATTTTTCTTCCAAAATAAACTTTATTCAGCGTAACTTTTGATCAATTTTTTCGAACGTAATTTTTGTAAAACTTTTTCTAATGTAACTCTTCCCAAACTAAACTCCTCTAAAATAAATATTTTTTAAATCCTTCGTCTATTTGGTGCTTTCATTACAGTTTTTCGATTTTATTTATTTTTCGCCCAAAACAAATTTTCGTAACATTTTTTCAAATGCGACTTTTCCCTGAAATAAATATTTGTTTAACCCTTTCGCTACGGTGATTTTTTCTGAGAAATGTGATTATGGTCTTATTTATTATAATAAAAAGTCAGATATTCTTATTTATAAAAAGCAAAGCTAAAGCCTTTCTATACAGTTTTTTATCCTTCCTTTATGTACAAAGGATAATACAAATGACAAATGTTATAACACGCCGTCATAACTCTTTTTTATAAAAACTTTTTAATCACTAGGAAAAAACTCTGTTGGTATAAAAGTGGGCGCCTATAGGTGCTCTCAGTAATACAAACACAAAATTTCTAAGCGCCTATAGGCACCCACAGTAGCCAAGGGGTTAATATATATTTTATCTGATTAATTTATTTCATGTTTTTGCTGAAGGTTTTCGATTTCATTTATCCTCGTCTGCTTCGCACATCGCATTGGTGTGAGAGAGACGACTCGATTTTCGTAGATTCAACTTTAACGCTCGAATATTGCGAAAATGAAGTTTTTACGAATGCAGCACCCATCAGTGAACTTCACTACAGGGTGCTCTGGTCGCTTTAGACAGCAATAAATACTCTATACTGAATAAAGTCGAATTTTCGAAGGTGCATGAGTGAGATGCTAATGTAAACAAGATGGCCGCCGCGGGACACTCATCTTAAGGGGTTATGTGTCGTCTAAATAATTAATTTGATGCAATAATACACGTTTTTCAATTCTAAAATTAAAATTGACAAAATCTCTTAAATGTCACATTATATTTTGCAAAACGAATGATTCTTACAAAAACAGCTAACATTCTTAAAACTGTTTATTCATCGATACGTCTGATCGATGACTTCATTCGGTTATTACGAAGTGCCCGTCGATTTCCGATTCTCAGACCTTATCTGGGAGTTCGATGTATCGATAAAACCAATCCCTGTATCCGACTGATTTATCGTTTCGTGCTTTTCGAAATTCCTTCGTGATTCATAAAGCAATATTTCCTGGTGGAAGTATCGGCACGCTTTTAGCCCCGCGGGCAAGTCTAGACGATACTTTACAACGAGTCTTGGTTCCATTTAAATATCTATCTATAGTATAATATTTTATTATTTGAATCGTTGTGCTTAAACTATAGATTGTGTTTCATTGTTTTGTGATGTGATACTGCGACTATTTCAAATTCTTTTTTGTACGAAAGTATAAAGAGGGATTTTAGTGTATGAAAATTCACAAGGAAATATGGCAACGTAATGTAGATGAAATATTATACATATTTTCCCATTGTATTTTATAAATATTGTTGTGTTATTTATATTGTGATATTGTAAATATTATTCTGTTTTTCACTTTGGGATATTATAAACATTATTGTGTTTGTTATATTGCAATGTTATAAATATTATTGTGTTTTTTATATTGCAATGTTATAAATATTATTGTATTTTTCACATTGTGTATTACAAAATTATAACCTAAAACATTGCATATAATAAAAAGGCATAAACGTATTTGTACATTTAATTTATAATTAAAGAAAGAAATATACATATAAAGAATAATACACTGATCAAAGTGCACAAGATATTCAAGAATATCTTTACCCTTTTTTACGTCAGTTATTAACATTGTAAACGATGTATTTTGAACTTCATATGATAAAGTTGTAGTGAATGACAGATACAACAATGTAGATATAAGTAAACACTTGAAAAGATAAATAACATGAATAATGATTCAAGAATAAATTCTTTATTTTGAGTATTTATAACTGTAATCTTATTTGCACTTATTTGCATTTATTCTTCAAACGTAATTTATGTTTAAAACAATTATTATTACCACATCAGAAAGTCACACAATAAGCTGAACTCTTTAGACAATTTTTTTTAAACCAGTATTGCTTTTCAAAATTATATTAACAACTTCACTAACTTACTATAAATGTATAAATCATGAAATATGTAATATGTGAACGATGTAAATCATGTAATATGTAATAGGTAAGCCATAAATATATAAATCATGTAATATGTAATATGTGAATCATAAATGTATAATCATGTAATATGTAAATCATAAATATATAAATCATAATATTATATTAACAGCTAACTTGTCATAAATATGTATATTCTCTGTACACTAAACATAGTACATTGTTATAATTTCACTAATCATGTAAATTTTGCACTTGTAATAAATAAATATTGATGTAATTAGTCATCCTGAAAATTTTGATGCCATTGGAAGTTTGAGTCTCCCGACCTCAAGGTATTATGTCACGTGAAATACTTTGCTACTTTGACCTAACCTATATTTAGGTGATCAGTGAATATTCACCGAAACTTGGTATTCAATTTTATCCGATTATAAATTATTCCACTAAGTAGCTGAAGGTTTAACTAATGAAAAGGTACGCATATTACGAAGGCTCTATTAACTGATAGCCACTGTGTTATACATCAGATGCATTATTTATTCGTTTCTTCAAAAATAACTTTTGACCAAATACTAATGAAGATATGTGGTTTGGGAGATTTGAAAATATAGGATAACTTAGGAATTTAGGGATTTTGGGAATTTTAGGGATTTTGGGGGTTTTGGGGATTTTGGGGATTTTGGGGATTTTGGGGGTTTTGGGAATTTTGGGGATTTTGGAGATTTGAGAATTTTGTGATTTGGGGATTTGGAGATTTGAGAATTTAGTGATTTGGGGATTTTGGAGATTTGGGAATTTAGGAATTTGGGGATTTTGGAGATTTGGGAACTTGGGAATTTTGGGAATTTTTGGATTTGGGGAATTTGGGGATTTGGGAATTTTGGGGATTTCGAAATTTGGGAATTTGAGAATTTGGAATCTGTGGAATTTTGGGATTTAGAAATTTGAAAATTTGGGGATTTGGGAATTTGAAAGTTTCAAAGGTTTGAAGATCTGGCGTTTGAGTTTTGGGAATTTCTGGAATTTGTGGAACTTGAAAAATTAAAAATTTAGTAACATGGAAAGTTGACAATTTCCGAGCTTAGAAGTTTCGTCATTTGAAAAGTTTGGAATTTAGAAATTAATTAAATATAGAAATTAAAATTAAAAAATGTACTTAAAATGTAATTAAAAAATGTACAAATTTAAAATTTTGAATATTTGATTTAACAACAACTTAAATAACCATCGCCTAGTAATGAGATACTATTTAGTATCGTTCCATCTTGTCCTCCGAAATAACCTACTTTTTCCATCTATCGTTTCCTCCAACATCAAAATGCAAATACAATTTACTTACCAATATGCAGTATTCCATCTAGGTCAAGATTCTCGTTGCTACCCCGACTGTTCACAGCAGTGACATGGTCATCGACAGCGAGCGTGTGTCTTTTAGGTGCTGGTCTTCCTATGCTGACAGCGTGCCATTTTCCATCGTTCAATCGGGATCTCGAGTTATCTCTGACCTTGACAGGACCATCACCTAGGTCGAATACATAGTGAATGTGTCCGTCCACCAATTCCACCGCGATGAAATCACGTTCTCGACCGGCGTTGAACAGAATCAATCCACTAGGTTCGCGTGTTTTGAACTGAAAGACGATAAATTATTCATTTAGCTATAATGACATGTTTGAATACCGTATTAGACGATCAATAAGTTCTTAACGGATTGATGAATTTGTTTAAGGCACTGTGAAGTTAAAAATAGAAATGTTTAAATTAAGTTTTAAAGGATATTTTTGAATTTTAGGGGGATTTTCATAAAATGCAGTTCATAGATTCTTAGATTTTTAGATTTTTAGTTTTGCAGATTTTTAGATTTATAGATTTTTAGATTTTCGGTTTAGCAGAATTTTGGATTTCTGGATTTTTGGATTTCTGGATTTCTGGATTTCTGGATTTCTGGATTTCTGGATTTCTGGATTTTTGCATTTTTACATTTTTGGTTTTGCAGATTTTTAGAATTTCAGAATTTCAGAATTTCAGAATTTCAGATTTTCAGATTTTCACATTTTGAGACTTTTCGACTTTTACATATTTAACTTATCAAAATTTTCATATTGACAAATTTTCAAATTTTCATACATTCAATTCTTTGAAAATATCTAAATTTATAAATTACGATATCAGAAATTTACAAATACCCAAATTTGCAAATTTAAAGATTTTAATTATTGAAAAATTTGAAGTATAAGAATTGCAAAATTTATAACTGTTAAATTAGAAGCTTGATAATTTTGAAATTGGGGAATTGTGGTTATAGATCAATTTTTCTAAATGTTCATATATCTAATTTTTTCTAAATTTTCATATATATTCAATTTTTTTAAATTTTCATATGTATTCAGTTTTTCAAAATCTTCATTTATATTTAATTTTTTCAAATTTTTTTATATATTCAATTTTTCGAAATTTTCATACGTATTCAATTTTTTCAAATTTTCATACGTATTCAATTTTTTCAAATTTTCATACGTATTCAATTTTTACAAATTTTCATAATAACAAGTTCCAAATTTTCCAAATTAAAAATATACCTTCTACATTCTAAAATTTTTAGTTCTATCATCCCAATCAAATCTAACATTCGTTATGTACAATCTAAAAAATACGTCCAATCGATCGAAAACTGATATTGTACATTTTCCCGAATATCAAAGACCGCGCGCTGAAATTCAACGAGAAGACAGCCGAAAAAAGCAGAAAATCCGTCAATTAGCAAATATCGTAATTACGAAGGTAACAGTTAGAGATGTTTGTCCGTCACTCGTGATATCTACGAAAGAATCGTATGGAATGATTGGATTTCTGAACGTGAAACCACGTGACACATGGCATGATTAATCCAGAGTTTGCGCATCGAATCGAGCACCGGTCAGGAAACCGGTCTAATTGGGCTAACCTTTTGTGGCTACGCGTCACCGTTGACATTTCATTTCTTTTGTGGCCTTCGAAATTTCGAAATGTCGACCAAACTTGACCACCTTCGTCGTTTGCAGAATATTTAACCACGTTCCACCGTTTGACCGAATTTTACGCCCTCTTGTACGAATCAGCGATATAACGCGGCTCTTATAAATGTTATGCTGGAAGGGAAAGTTTGATACACGAGATTCTGAAATATTTTGATGTTCTTTGTGGGATGTTTTATGACTTAATTGAAAAATCAAGTAATTTATTATGTACATGTACGTCATACATATCTATTTTTTATGTGTAATTTTGTTTTTTGAAATTTTTGTTTTATTCTTGTTTATATGTGATAAGTTGAATTAAATAAATCTTGTGAAAATTTTTTGTATATATATGATAAGTTAAATCAAATAAATTTTGTGGAATTGTAGGATTTAATATGAGGAAACACATATATGTGTTTATGAAAATACACACATATGTGTGAAACATACGAAACACACATACACACATAACAAAGGTTTGTAATTATTTTTTTTTAATTTGATAACACAAAATGCACGTTAATAATGTAAATTGATTAAACAAAGAGAGAGAAGTTTAAAAAATTTCAAAGTTCAAGTTTGGAAATTTTTGAGATTAGAAAAATCGAAATATGGAAATGAAAAAATTTTCAAGTTATTTTTTAAACTTGTAAATGTAGTTTCTATGATAATTTGTATACTTCTAAATTTAACTTTCAAGCTAATTTTTAAACTTGTAAAAGTAATTTTCAATTTAATTTTCAGACTTGTAAAAATCAAAATATTTGAAATCAACAAATCACTAATTAAAAATCAACAAATTTCGAAATAAAAAATTTAGTAATTTACAAATTATAACATAACGTACATATAATATCATAGACATAGAAAAAATAATATTCTTCATCATCCCCCAACGCAAATACATATTTTCACAAATTCAAACTAAAAATGAATATTCACAAAAACATCCATAATCAAATAAAATATCTTATATACTTCCATCTTATATGCTTTCATATAATTATAATATTCTTTCACAAAAAGAAGCAAGAATATAAAAAATACATTACCTGAAAGTAAATGTTTGTTTCCACATACGCTTTCAGAACAGGTAACCCAACAAACGTATGTTTCGACGTGAAAGTGACTGGATAATGCACCGGGTGGTTCCTTTTACCAAATTTCCCTGTGACCCTGATGATCGGTGTTACACCTTGATGAGAAGCTTGATAATTTCCTGAACTCCTTGCTATTTCCAGGTATGGATAGCCGTTGAACCAGATTTGTTGAAGTTGACCGACGAAATGTGGAATTTCTTCACCAGCATGTAAATAACCTCCCACGTGGAGAGTACGAAATTCCAGGATACTTTGTTTTCCGAGTTGGACTTCGACTGTTGGACACAAAATCAATTTTTTCTGTAAATATACGTTCAGGCTAAATATAGATATTTAACCAGTTAACTGTGATTGACGAGTATACTCGTCATGGCTCGATTCTGGCGACACAAAACGGTGCGCGCTCTCAAACGAGGGCGCCACAGTTGACTGGTTAAAATGTTTAGAGGCCAACACGAAATAAACAAATAAAAAGTGTAAATGACTTGAGATGGATTCATAAATTCTTGAGAACTCGTCATCGCTTGATTATCGACACACACTGGTGCGGTTTGCAAAAAGATCGCCACAGTTAACTGGTTAAAAAAACTGTTGAATATTGTTATCTTTTTTTTATTTTGATGTATGTAAATATATCAAGAATGTCTATAAATATATTTATGTCCAGTATAAATATTTAAAAACATTGTTGAATATTATTATTTCATTTTTTATTTTGATATCGTATATTTATATCAAGAATATCTATAAATATGTTTATGACAAATATGTATAAACATGGAATAATATATTCAACAATATCTTAAATGTTTATACTGGATTATTTACATTTTTTAGTAATTTTTGTTTGACCGTCATTTACAAATTTATAAACTCTAAACAAAGTCAAAAATTTATAAATAAAAGTAAATAGCAGCGAATAAATTTGTAAATACAATTACAAATATTTTACAAATAAATTGCAAATAAATTTATAAATACAATAATAAACATTTTAAAGAATAAGAGAAACTACATCCAAATAAATACATAAATACAAATAAACAAATATAAATAAATTTATGAATACAAAAAAATAAACATAAATAAATTAACAAATCCAATTTCATAAATCAGATAATCAAAACACCAGATGATTTAATTTTAATTTATTAATTTTTTCTTTTATTGTTCGCAATTACTAACGTACTTAATTAAATTAATAATTAGCGCCTCTCAATCCCATTCACGTAAAAAATATGAAATTTTCCGAATTTAATCAGGCGGAAACCTGATCACCGTGTAATTGAATATTTTCATTTTAAAGCTTTAAATAGGAGTTTTATCCTGTATTCTAAATGAGAACGGAACGAGATTAAGACAAAAGTGATTAATAAGAATCCGGTCTCGTAACAGGCACGAACCAGTGTACTTTCGGAAGTCGAACGAAACTCGGCCGGAAGTTACACCAGAACTATTTTAATTATTAGCCCGTCCGAGATTGTTCCCTTATCCGGCGGGGACAATGAAAGCTCGATATCGGCGCATTGTTCTTTGCGAGAATCTTACGGGTACAGACGCCATTAAGCTTAATTGTCCCCCGAACACAATGCACTGAACTTTGTAAATTAGTAACGTGACGTAAGTATCGACAGCCGTTGCTAATAAATGTACCAAGTTTCCTTTAAAGCCACTCGAGACCAAGGGTGAGAAATTGTGATCGTTCATTACGATAATTCGTTGATAAAATATTCACGGTTCTTTGAAACGGGGACGAAGAGGAAGAATCTCGATACTTTATCGATCGATGTTGATGAGGGGATCAATTTTCATTTCTGATATTGAGGGGTGATGGTCGTCTATGGAGTAATTGTTCTTTTTGTGTATAGAGTGGGTCAAAAAGAATGGTGCACATTTTACAATTAGATAATTTTGTCATTTCCTAATTTTTTAGTTTTCGCATTTTGTAATTTTGTAATTTTGTAATTTTGTAATTTTGTAATTTTGTAATTTTGTAATTTTGTAATTTTGTAATTTTGTAATTTTGTAATTTTGTAATTTTGTAATTTTGTAATTTTGTAATTTTGTAATTTTGTAATTTTGTAATTTTGTAATTTTGTAATTTTGTAATTTTGTAATTTTGTAATTTTGTAATTTTGTAATTTTGTAATTTTGTAATTTTGTAATTTTGTAATTTTGTAATTTTGTAATTTTGTAATTTTGTAATTTTGTAATTTTGTAATTTTGTAATTTTGTAATTTTGTAATTTTGTAATTTTGTAATTTTGTAATTTTGTAATTTTGTAATTTTGTAATTTTGTAATTTTGTAATTTTGTAATTTTGTAATTTTGTAATTTTGTAATTTTGTAATTTTGTAATTTTGTAATTTTGTAATTTTGTAATTTTGTAATTTTGTAATTTTGTAATTTTGTAATTTTGTAATTTTGTAATTTTGTAATTTTGTAATTTTGTAATTTTGTAATTTTGTAATTTTGTAATTTTGTAATTTTGTAATTTTGTAATTTTGTAATTTTGTAATTTTGTAATTTTGTAATTTTGTAATTTTGTAATTTTGTAATTTTGTAATTTTGTAATTTTGTAATTTTGTAATTTTGTAATTTTGTAATTTCATAATTTTGTAATTTCGTAATTTTGTAATTTTCCCAATTTCCCAATTTCCATATTACTCACTTCCCAATTTCCCAATTCCCCATTTCCCAATTCCCCATTTCCCCATTTCCCCATTTCCCAATTCCCCATTTCCCCATTTCTCAATTCCCCATTTCCCAATTCCCCATTTCCCAATTCCCCATTTCCCAATTCCCCAATTCCCCATTTCCCAATTCCCCATTTCCCAATTTCCCATTTCCCAATTCCCCATTTCCCAATTCTCCATTTCCCAATTCCCCATTTCCCAATTCCTTATTTCCCAATTATCCCATTTCCCCATTTCCCCATTTCCCCATTTCCCCATTTCCCAATTTCCCAATTTCCAAATTCCCCATTTCCTACCTCCCAATTTCCAAATTCCCCATTTCCCAATTTCCAATTTCCAAATTCCCCAATTTTCCAACCTCCCAATTTCCCAATTCCCAATTCCCCAATTACCCAATTTTCCAATTTCCAAATTCCCCATTTCCCAATGTCCAATTTCCAAATTCCCCAATTTCCCAATTTTCCAATTTCCAAATTCCCTATTCCCAATTTTCCAATTTCCAAATTACCCATTTCCCAATTTCTGAATAAGCCAAGTTCACCAATTCCCAATTTTCCAACTTTCCAATTTTTCAATTTCCTAATTTCTAAATTTCCAAATTCCCCATTTCCCAATTCCCAATTTCCCAAATTCCCAATTCCCTAATATCTCAATTCCTCAATTTTCCAATTTTGTTAACTGGATAATTCAAAAAGTCGTACACTTAAAAATGCAAGTACAAATTTACTTAAAAATTGATCAATCTGGTTTACATTACATGGTGGCAAAATGTCTGTGGTCGTCCCTGTGTCACAATAAGCAAATTTGTTTGGTTGCGAACGATTCGAAACCGTGTTACATCCGTAACTTGTCGATCGATGCCGAGAATTTGATTATAACTCGGAGAATGCTTATCGTTTGATCGAATCGAGACACCGGAACCGCAGCTTCGAAATTACTCGAGAATTGAATTCGCACGAAAATCGACCGTCGAATTTCCTAGAACAAGACAACCAGATGCACCGGGGTGTGATTATGCAAATCCAAGAATACATCGGGCGTACAAATTTGCCGGCTACATTCGTGATTATTTTTGTGGGTAACGTTCTGCGGGGAATAATTAGGGAAATGAGAAAGTAATTTGTCTCGGGATTTCTAAATTACTAACCTTTTTATATGATTAAGCTAGCGGAGAATATTGCTGGGTAGCCGGAAGGGTACTTCTATCTTCTAGAGTTGTTGATTTTTGCTTTTTATATATATGTAGGTATACGTTCTACTTGCAGTTATATTTTATTTGAAGACGGAGATTGGGAAGTTCGAAGAGAATAATTGGAAAATTTAATAATTTTGTGTTGATTTTCGAAATTGATCCATATTTAGTTACCAAATTTTCAAGTGTGATATTATTTAGTTTCAGGTTTTTAAAATTGTGAAATTTTTAGGTTTTTAGGTTTAGGAATGTGTGAAGATTCAAATTTTTTAGTTGATAGTTCGGAACAGTTAAGATATTGATATTTTCAAAATATCAAAATTCAGCAAATTTTTCATATTAAAAAATTTTGAAATCCCCAATTCCTTAAATATCCAAATTTCATAATTTCTAAATCACCAAATTTCCCAAATCTCAAAATTTTTCAAATTTTCCAAATTTATGAAATTTCCAAAATAACGAAATTTAAAAAATTTTTTAAATCTTCGAATTTTTAATTCTCGATTCCTCCAACACCACAAATTCCCAAAGTTGAAGTCGTCGAATCGTTAAGTACCTAAAAATCAGAATTTCACAATTTCTAAATCCCTAAATTCACCAAATCTCCAAATGTTCCAAATTTCCTAAATCTCCAAATTTTCTAAATTTCCCAAATTTCCCAAATTTCTCAAATTTCCAAATTTTCTAAATTTTTAAAATCTCTTAAATTTCCTAAAATCCCAAATTTCCAAATTTCCTGAATTTCCTGAATTTCCGGAATTTTCCAAATTTTCCAAATTTCCTAAATTTTTTAAATTTTCCAATTTTCCAAATTTTAAAAATTTCCTAAATTTCTTAAATTTCCCAAATTTCTCATATTTACTAAATTTCCTAAATTTCTCAAATTTCCACAATCTTCAAATTTCCCAAATTTCAAATTCTCAAATCCTCCAACCTCCCAAATTCCCAAATTCCAAATTACCAAACTCTTAAATCCCTCAACACCCACCTTCCCCAATTCCCAGATCTCCAAAATCCCCCCTGTCTCTCCATCCCAAACAACCTCTCGTTTTTCCGAATTTACGACTTGAGGCAAATTTTCAATATCTTATAAAGACATTTATGCAGTACAATCTATGTGTACATGGAACATGTTGACAAGTGGCAAACAGAGCATAGCTCATACTCGAAATTACAATGCCAGGCAGCTGGTTGTGATCTGTTAAGGGCCGCCTTGACTAACGACTAATCGATGGACCCGATCGTGGGTCAATCTCGTAGTGTTTAATCGAATCGTAAATTGACGTCGAACAAATCGCATCGAATCGTAGACATCGATCAATTCGGACTAAAGATCTCGTTTTCGAAGATACAGTTTGAATTGCGGCAGTACGAAATATCCTCGGACTCCACAAATCGATTGAAAAAGATATT